TCTTGTTGTCCATTGAAAAGGCCAGTTTTAATGACATTAAACAACTTTCTGGTTGAAAGCTGTTAAAATTATCAAGCATTGGTTCTGAGGAAGAATTCAAAGCAATGTTCCAGACTATAGTACAGAGGAAAGAAGAAACCATAGCCAAAATTTTAGAAGATTTGGAGAGATTTGACAAATTATTTTTCTCAGATGCTTTAAGTGAAATTAATTCTTGAGCATGTGATTAATGTATGGATGCCATAACAGATGAAAATATGAGAAGTAGGTTAAAACAAAGGAGGTGTGCATCTTTAAAAGAAACTCTTAAGTTGACAATGAAACTTTAATCTGCCCCCTTTTTTTTGTGACATCCTTTGAAAGGTGTTTTTTCCATAAAGGTTTTTTCTGCAGTTTCTGGCCTTATGTCATTTCAAGTTACACTCGAAACACATACTGTTGTATTTCTTTATTTTGTGTAACTAGTTGTCTAACTAATCATTTCAGTTCTAGTTTTGTCGGGGGGAGTTAACATTTCAATACTATTCGACCTGATAATCCTGTGACTTTTAGATAGTGCCTTTAGTTACTTATCTGTGACTTTAAAGTTTTATATATGTGGGAATCTTGACCATTACACACGAAACTATGAGGAAACAACAGCTATTAATGCACCAACAAGACAGTGCCCTAAGTATGAGTCTTCAAGCCTAGCCAGATCAAAGGAGAAACAAAGAGCTAAACAGACATCAGAAAATGTTAATTTTGTCTCCAGAGATAAAAAAGATGATAAAATGATGCAAACAGCAAGTGTTTGTTGTGTCCCAGCCAGTCTGAGCTCCGAAATTAATAAAACGTGGAGTCAGCAATGGATATGGGGAACATAATATGGTGGGAATAGTATTATTGTACACTCATTTAATTTTTGAAAATCCAACCTGGCATGGTCTGGTTATTAAGGTGCTAGACTCGTAATCTGAGGGTCGCGGGTTTGAATCCCCGTTACTGAACATGCTTGCCCTTTCAACTGTGCAGAAATTATAATGTGATGGTCAATCCCACTTTTCGTTGGTAAAATAGTAGCCCAAGAGGTGGTGGTGGATGGTGTTGACTAGATACTTTCCCTCCAGTCTATCAGTGCTAAATTAGGGACAAACAGCTCTTGAGTCGCTTTGAGCGAAATTCAAAACAAACCAAAATAAATCATTATGGGATCAAATAAAGAATGCAGTGTTAAAAATATAATAAGCCTAACACTAATGTATTATGACGAGGATATTTAATTATAATCATGCTTTACCAGCTTGTAAAAGCCATTCTTACCATAAGAATTGTTGTTTTAACAATTGGCGTATATAAAAAGATGTATTTGTTGTATCTCAGCTGACTACGTTTTTGATATTTCAATTCACATATTTGTTTGATAGAAGGAGCTTGTCAGGACATCGTGATAATGCAAGATCATGAAAGTTAAGGCCTCATTTGGAAGCTTCCTGTATTGCAGAGAAAACTAGATTTGTTTGTAATTAAGCACAAAGCTACACTATGGGCTATCTGTGCTCTGCCCACCACGGGAATCGAAACCCGGATTCTAGCGTTGTAAGTCTGCAGACATGCCACTGGGGGGCTTGTATGTAAATACTAGTCTCGATTAATTATTTGATTAATGACTTATTCAGTTCAGTGTCATTTAGTGACTTCAGATAATGAATCTGTTAAAAACTAAGCAGTGAGTGTCTTTGTTATTAGCGATCCATGCAGCATTGTTGACCCTCTCTGACCAGGGAGGTATGCTGCAAGAACATCCATGACCCACAGAAATGCCTAGAGTCCTACTGGTTCAATGGATGAGTTACTTCAGGAATCTAGCATTCTCCTGAATGTAGGGGACCCTTTACAAGCATACTCCACTTCATACCATTCTCCAAATGTTTAGGATCTTTTAGTCTAGTGTTGGAAGAGAGTTTGTGCCAATAGCCTAGACATTCCAGTGTTTTGGCACAACCATGCTGGTTCTCAATTAATGGGAAGGGTTTCTCTGCTCCACCCATGATGTTCGTTACACAATTGATGATCCTACCTCAATATTGATCCAAAATATAAACTGTTTGGTTTGGGTGTATGCATCAGGATCACTTCAAATTGAGCTGCTCATATCTTGTAGTGCAGCAAGTTACCAGTATCACCTGATTACACAGCATATGCAGGAAGGTCAACAGTGAGCTGTAACTACTGTTGTTTCCACTCTAGCCCCCCATCTCAATGGCACAGTGGTAAGTCTGTAGGCTTATAATGCTAGAAACTTAGTTTTGATACCCATGGTGGGCACAACACAGATAACCCATTGTTTTGCTTTGTGATTAACCACAAACCAATCAACCAACAACTTTCGCTCTGAGAAACTCATGGATCTCGAGTTAAGACTAGATACTGGCATGTAGAAATGTAGTTGGGAGCTTGCAATTATAGATTTGGTGATCAGCCCAGTTCTCTTTGGGCTGGGTGAGGCTTGGTATGTGCTTGTGAAGATAAGAAGATGAGAAATAAAATTCCTTTATGATACAGGAGCTGCCAGCATACTGATTGGTGTTGCTATATATCAACCACTCTGAGTAAAGCTTCCAATCCAGCCAGTTAACCATATTACGGCCACAAAGCAGCTTTCAAATGTCAAGTGCACAACTATCACAGTTGAAGTAAAAAAAAAAAATTCTAACTGTATTTCCAAAATTGGTTTGCTCAAAAATATTTAAGAATTGATATATTGTCGCTGTTCAACATTCATTTAGTTTAATTTTCAAATAAAAAATGTAACAAATTTTTGAACTTTGATCTCATATAGTCGTTTTTAAAACTTTTCTACCCATTCCTTAAAATAGACTTATCCGTGTACTTTTCCTCGCGTGACCTTCCTTTTCTATTAGTGAACTTATCTACAACCCTGTACAAAGAGACTTTCATGACATCACAACAAGTGCATTGGACAGTAACTAATAAACCTTAGCCTCAAAATTAAATAGAACCAATGGCTAAAAATAAATGATTGGATAGAATCGATCCTTGTATCTGTAATTCAATCTAAAGTAAAGAAAGTGGGGTAAGAGATTAGCAGATGTAAGAACAAGGAGTTCTAATACAAAACTAAGGAACTATCAAGTAACCTGGACATTTTATAGTTTATCTTTGTGTTATGTCTGATTGAAACCTATAGGAATATTCTTCTGTGAGACGACATCAGGTAAGGATATTTGGGGTAAGTATGGTATACTAGGAGTTCTAATACAAGCTTTACAAAACTAAGGAACTATCAAGAAACCTGGATATTTTCTAGTTTAATTTTGTGTTATGTCTGATTGAAACCTATAGGAATATTCTTCTGTGAGACGACATCAGGTAAGGATATTTAGGGTAAGTATGGTATGCTAGGAGTTCTACATTCGAAAACTATTCAGATGACGCAACAGCTTTTTTACCTGTGTTTGTATTATTATTTCTGCAACAGCTCGTAGAAGTACAGTAACTCATTATTTATTGAAAACGAACGATACTTGTGAAAAGAACTGAGCTTAACTAAAAAATAGTTCGAAGAATGTTGCCTCTATCAGAGTAGTCCTAGAATGCAAGTAGAATTTGTGTTTCTATTGATTGGTGCTTTTGTACTATTTTTGTAACTGCTTCAGTAGGAAAATATTTATAAACATATAAGAAATTTAACATTTAGTGTAATTTGCAAAGAAAAAATAAACAAATTTTTGAACTTTGATCTCGTGTATTAGTTTTTAAACATTTTTTATCCATATACTTTTCCTCAAGTGAAAATATTACTTTGTGGAATTTTGAAAATTCCTTTATGATACAGGAATTGTCTTTAGTTACAATATAATTATTTTTTTTCAAAGGAGGTAGGAAGGATAAAATTTTGTTCCATATCTGCAAGACTTGTTTTTGTAGATTATCCGTGGTAAGCAATTATCCGTGGTTCTGGAGAAGAGATTAGCAGAAGTAAGCACAAGGTGCTCTAATACAAACTTTACAAAACTAAGGAACTATCAAGAAACCTGGATATTTTATCTTTGTGTTATGTCTGATTGAAACCTATTATTGGTAAAAATCAGTTAGATTAACAACTTCTAATATATAGAAAAGCCAGTGCATTTTGATAACACTACATTCCAACAATGACTTTTATGTCATGTTGTGAAGCAACAAAAGCATAACCTAATATTGTTGTTAGTCTACGTACTAAAAGTATAAAATGAAATGTATAAACAACAAAACTGGAAAAATATTTGTTGATTTCTTTATCTAAAGTCTCCGTTGATTAAAAGAGATTTCTTTATTAACGATATAACAGAAAACAGCTAAGTCAGAAACGATTTGAGTTTAAAATTGAATCGATATTTTTACTTTCATGATAAATTTTATGTACTTGGCTCTAGGCTAGGTGATCCCTAGTTAGTTAAGAGAGTGTGTACCAAATTTAATGCAATTAGGTTAAGCATCGCAAGTGGATTGATATAACGTCACCCAGCTGGCTCAGAAAAGGTTAATATTGACATCATTCTGGTGAATGGTGATAGTCTAAATGTGACTGGAAGGTGAAGTCTCTGACTACATCTAGGTTAAGTTGATTACAGAATGAAGGCAGTTATTTCTGACCTCGAGTCTGTCACTGGTATCTTAGATATGAACTTACTGTGGATATTATCATTCAGTTTTACCTTTGCAACGGTTGAACTGCATTTCTTTGAGAAGACCATCTGTATTACAATTACTTGTCATGAAAATGATTTTGAAAAGAGGGCACTACATATGTTCAGTGTCCTTTGGTAAAAATCTGATGCAAACTGTATGCATAAGTGTCATTTGGTGAAATCTTATGTGATCAGTTTTGATTAAGAGTTACATATATTGCATAGTAGTGAAGTTTTTGGCAGTCTTATATCATTGTCAGTGAGTTTGGTATTACTTGGGAAAGTAAATTATTTTGTACAAACATTTATTCAAATCAATACACAGGCTATTTGTCACCATTTTAATTAGACCAGCATAACAATATTTTCAGTGTTGAACTGCTATTGTTCTTTTCAAGCCAAAGAATATCTGTTCTTTGCATTCTCATCTGACTAAAGTAAACTGTTTTAATTATTAGATAATTAGAATTTCACTGTTTACCTTAATTTTCATCAAATAAATAGTGCTTTTTTTGTGATATTATCATAAAATGTGTCAGCTTACTTTAATTTGTAAAACGCATATTGAAAAAGCATTAGTACCAACACAATGAAAGCTAACTGGATGATTACAATTATAATTTGTTTGTATTAATAATAAAACTAATTCCTTAATTTTACGTTTAATAACTTTTCCCTCACTATTTTAACATGTTTTTGCTTCTTAATAAATAACAATCTGACTTTATCTTGTAGTTTCAATGTGTAATATGGACATATGCATCTTAAATGATTATTTATGTTTCCATTATGCCCAAAGTGTATCATTTACTTAGGCCTAGGATTCAAATTTCAAGTTTTATGTTTTTTTTTTTAAAGCAAAGCCACATCTGGCTATCTGCTTTGTCCACTGAGAGGGGAATCAAACCCCTGATTTTAGCACTGTAAATCTGTAGACTTACTGCTGTCCAACAGGAAGACTAATTTCAAGTTAGACTTTTTTTCTACTTAAACACATTCAACCACCTTTTTCAAACACAGTGTTATTGATATTATTGTACTTCATTAACTCATAAGTATTTCAAATAACTTAAAAAAATTATAACAAATGCACAAACATTACTTGGACAGGCGAGGATCCAAATTTAAACTTATTTAAAAACACTATACAATTAGGTGGACAAAGTTAAAAATTTCTACTAGGCATTATAATTACTGATAGTATTGGCTAATATTTTTCAGTTAATGAAATGGATCACATTAAATTCACTGTGAACAAAAAAAAATTTTGAAATTAAAATATTCACCAGAATGTACAAAGTAGGTGATGAAGCAGGTTAATCTTCAATCAAACAGATTATAATGCAGTTTGTCATCACATCTTTAAATTTATTTTCAAAATTTCCAAATTTATTTATCTTTTTACTGATATTTGTTAAATATGCCAACTTTATTATTCTATGTAGATGTAACAATCATAACTATAATATACATGTACTTATTTTAAAATCTGTTTTTCCCCTTATTTTCTAGATATTGTTATAACTTATAAGATTGATACATACATGTAACATCAGTCAACATTTCATAATATCAACTATGTCAAATCAGGCTGTTTACAGCGACCTTCTCTGTCATCATTTTTCACGTGTTGCTTTAATAAATCCATCACTTCATTTTTAAATTCTGGTGGCGTTTCCTTTACTTCTGTGAAATTGAGATTGTAAAAATTGATTTATCAACAGCGTACACTCATCAGTGTCAAGTAATTTTAATATTAATCACAATTAAAATCCTCAGATAACTAAACTAAATGTTTAACATTAGAAAAAATATATATACATACACACACACACAAACAGTTTCATATCACGAATCACATATAAAACTGAATTTAAAAATTCAAGTAATAACACAAAATTAGTTATTACATGGTGAAAAAGTTATGTAGCTGAACATACTCTATCAAGAAATACAAAAATAAATAATTTCATTAACTTGAATGTATGGACATCAACAATACAAGTTGAAATCAATACAAAAGACCAACAAATCTGTATAAAATTCAATTGTACTTTCAAATATTTCACCTAGCAAAAAAAAAAATTGAAGACTTTTTTTTATAATAATTAGTCTTACAATATAGAAATGTTGTTTTGAGGTTTGATAGATATTCATGAGGGCAAGCTATTATGAAGTAGAATTTTATCAGGACATATTAGCAGAACAGAATTATTTACTAAATTCATAACATGAAAAATAAAAGCGATTTATGAGAAATGTTTCCAGTACATATTAAATAACAATTCAGATGTGACACTCCTAATGTTAGTATCAAAACAAAATCAAGTAGTAAAATTAAGGCACGTAATAACAAATAATAACCGCACACATTTTAAATATTTCTATGATTCTTACGGATAGGAAACTTTTGTTTGTTTGTTTTTGAATTTTGCGGAAAGCTACACGAGGGCTATCTGCACTAGCCATTCCTAATTTAGCAGTGAAAGACCAGAGGGAAGGCAGCTAGTCATCACCACCAACTCTTGGGCTACCAACGAATAGTATGACTGACCGTCACATTATAATGCCCTCAATAACTGAAAGGGTGAGCATATTTGGTGAGACAGGGATCTGAACCCGCAGATGCGAGTCGAGCTCCCTAACCACATTATAGTTATTTGAACATTTCTATATAATTCTAACAGGCAACTTCTGAGATCATGATAGTTGCCAGTGAAACTAACTACCTCATTCATTAGGTTTATTGCTTCATATTGTTATGTCTCAGTTCGTTTGTTAATTCCTGGTATAAATTCTTTCCAAGGAACTTCAGAAATACAAGTCCTTTCTTGACTAAACTAGTTTATTCTTTCTCG